AAAAAAAAAAAAAAAAAAAAAAGATCTATCTTGGAGCATAGGAGGCAAAAAAAAATTCCATATTGGGGAAAAAGGAAAAAGAAAAGAAGAAAGATACTTTAGGCACCAGCTGAAAATCTACCTTCTCTTCTGCAGTGGCACGTTTGATAGGCTTCCGTTTTTCTGAGGCATGTGACACATCAAATTCAACAGAAACACCACTGGGCAAACCTTCTTGAAACTTTTTCATGGGAGATATTGTAGGGATGGACCCATCTTCCCATTCGGAATCATCAGACCCATTGTTGGTCTCAACCTTTTCAGGATTAGAAGCATACTCCATTGCTTCTCCATAGTAAGATTCCGAATCTGCTCTATCCTTTCCTCTGTCTGCATCAGTAGATATATTGTCGTTGTCTGTCGATCTTCTCTCCACCTGAAAAGTAGGCAATAACGTATCACAATAGTTCAAACAAGCAACGATGAAAACGAGAGAACTGGTAGGCAATAATGTATCACAAATAATGGTTGAAACAAGCAATGATGAAAACAAAAGAACTGGTCGGACCTTAGCAGACGACTCACAGTGACGCAAATAACTAACATCTTCCTTATTAAAGCCTTTCTTAACTCTTTTCAAAAGCTTCCCCACGGCATTCCGTGAAATGTTCGATAGAGCTCCTGCTGCAGCAAAAATAAAGCTACTATCGGTATACATTACGAGAACCCTAGCTTCATCGCATTCACACTATACTAGCTTAATATGAACACAAAAACCACACCATTTTCATCAATGCTCTCAGATACATGATGGGCATCCTTAGCTTCTTGTTCGCCTACAATAGCAAAATGTAAAAAAAATAAAGAGCTGCACGTAAATCCACACCAAGTTAAGCACAAAACCAACTTCCAACTTCCAAATAAAGCCGAAAATTTGTCCATTCGCAGGATTTAACTTCACAACTTGGAGTGAACGAGTGAAGCATAAATGGTGCAAATAAAACACAAAATGGCCGCAAATTGAATTCCTCCGTCATTAACACAAGCCATGGAGGTTCGAGGATGAATAATTCGATCAAGAAAAACCACAAAATTCCCATAAAATCACACAATTGAATCCAACATAAGGTAAAGCTTAGAAACAAAATAAAAAATCAACAGTTGCACGTGATTCAACAACATACCCACTGTTTGGCGTAGTTTGGATTGTCTCCTCGTTCGCATTCTTTGCCTGGATAATTATTGTTATTTATTTTATATTTTTGTTGAGGGTTTTGTTGAGAAGGTCTTAGAGAAAAATGGAGGTCGCGAGAGGCGCTATTTTTCAACAGACAACAGTTGCTCCACTTTGGCGGTAGAAAGAGTACCCAGCAAGTCGCAGCATGTGGGCTGGGCTTCACATAATTTGGCCCAAATATTTGGGTCCTCTCTTAGCGATTATATTATAGGCTATGTTTGATAAAACTAGCTGATAAGCTAGCTTATAGTTGGTAAACTAATTTATAGCTTATCAGTAATTTTTTAGTTTATGTGTTTGGTAAAATTAGCTGATAGCTGATAAGCTACCTTATAGCTTATCAGTAATTTTTTAGCTTATAGCTTATAGTTGATAAGCTAGCTTATATGATAAAAGTGTTAGGTAAAATTAGCTGATAAGCTAGCTGGAATAAAAAATTCAACTAGCTTATTTGAAAAGTTACCTAAAGAAGCTTATCAAATAAGCTCGAGCTTTTTAAAAAAGTTCGTCCTACCAAACGAGGCTTATTTGAATACAGGGAGCTTATAAACTAGCCAAATAAGCTATAAGCTAGCTTATTTGTCTACCAAATATAGAGTTTATGACTTATAGCTGATAAACTATCTTTTATGATAAAAGTGTTTGGTAAAATTAACTGATAAGCTAGTTAGAATAAAAAAATCAACTAGCTTATTTGAAAAACTACCTAATGAAGCTTATCAAATAAGCTCGAACTTTTTAAATAAGTTTGTCCTACCAAAGGAGCCTCATTTAAGGCTATGTTTGGTAAAATTAGCTGATAAGCTAGCTGATAGCGGATAAGCTAGCTTATAGCTTATATGTAATTTTTGAGCTTATACTTATAGCTTATGACTTATAGCTGAAAAGCTAGCTTATATGATAAAAGGTGTTTGGTAAATTAGCTGATAAGCTAGCTGAAATAAAAAAATTCAACTAGCTTATTTGAAAAGCTACCTAAAGTAGCTTATGAAATAAGCTCGAGCTTTTTAAAAAAGCTCGTCCTACCAAACGAGGCTTATTTTAAACAAGAAGCTTATAAGCTAACTAAATAAGCTAAAAGATAGCTTATTTGGCTTACCAAACATACCCTAAATATAGAGAGTTTATAAGCTAATAAAATAAGCTATAAGCTAGCTTATTGGTCTACCTAACATAATCGGAGCACATTAGACCATCCTTATTCCCAACCCAACCCAACCCAACCTAATAATTAAAAATTATTTATCTTCCTTCCACATACACAACTCAATCTTCCAACATTATTTATCTTTATCCCCAACCCAACTCAACCTACATATTTATTTTATTTTGATTTATTTAGAAATTTCAAATGTGTTCTAAAATATATCAAGTGTGATCTCTATTTGTAGAGAATAAAAAAATATAAATTTTAATATTTTTTTTTTATTTTTTTTAAAAATCAAAAAAATACATTTATCCAATAAAAATAAGACAAAGGTGTCCCATTTTTCCTCACAATATAGGTCGCGACCGGAGGTCACATTGTGACGTGGGTCGCGCGCGCAACCTGATGACCCTTTCCATTTTTTTATTATTATTTTATTTATTTATTTTTTTTGTTTTATTGCCGTGACCACTGTTCTAAAAGTCGGCCTAGGCGGCCGCCTAGGCGGCGCCTAGGCGCTAGGCGGTGCCCGGGCGCCTCCGATTTGTACAAATCGGCCAAAAAAATCGGCCAAGCGGCTAGGCGGCGCCTAGGCGGGCCTAGGCGGGCCTAGGCGGGCTCAGCGGCCAGGCAGTTAGGCGGCGCCTAGGCGGGCGTAGGCGGACCTAGGCGCTCCTAGGCGGGCTCGGCGGCAATTTTTCAGTTTTTTTTTTAAATACTAATTACATTATTTTGTTCTCATGTTTTCTTTAAAATATATTAATATTATTATTTGGACTTAGGTGTGTCGATTTATTATAAGTTGAGATACTTTTATTTTGTTAGTAGTTAAATAAATAAAAAAATAAGGTATTTAATATTGATTTCTAGGCCCCGACTAGGCCCCGCCTAGGCCCCGCCTAGGCGCTCTAGGCGCTAGGCGCTGGTCGAGCGCTTAGCGGGCGCCTAGCGACTTTTAGAACACTGGTCGTGACCCATGGAATGGGTCACGGATAAAGTCAGTCTTAAAAGCCCATAACTAGATTTACCACATAATAAAGCCCATTTTATCGGTTATAGATACAAATAAGACAATCTTATTCACATCACTTTTTGAATCTCATCGTTGAAACCCTAGCTCCGCAGAAAAAGAACTCCCCCCAAAATCAAATCCTTCCTCTTCTCTCAGATCTTCGATTTCCGTTCTCCGTCGTTTTTGATTTCTTATTTCTATGCTCCGAAGATTCATTACTGCAGATATTTGGTGAAGATTTTTTTACGATTTAGCTCCTCTGTTCCTATAATTCGATCTGATCTAGGTACTTTCCTCTTCAATCATAAGATTTCAAATCTTGTTAGACCTTATCGTCTGATCTATTGTTATGGATATATATCAATTTTGTTGATTTTGTTTTTGCTTCTAAATTTACGAATGATCTTTTGGATTCGGTTCTCTTGACAAGGTTGATTGGTATGGGTAAATCTTGTTTTTTTTTTAATTTTTTTTGTTGAAAACAATGGATATATAGTTACCAGGACGTAACGTTTTTGCTTAGCCTGGGATTCAGATAATTTTTGTGAGAACTGCTAGAGCTCCAGATATTCTGATAGCTAATACGAGTCGTATATCTACTTAGGTTTTTCAAGTCTTCCAACTTGCTTGACCAATATTTTTTTTTTTTTTTTTGGCAAAATTGCTTTTTGTTGATGTATGCACCTATTTATTAACCCAACTACCTTAGGCATTCATGTATTGCCTTGATTCGATAAATATGGGAAAAGCACTGTTAGCTTCGGATTCCTTTTGTAGATAACGTTGATCAGTTAGTTATTGGTTGAATGACGTTTTTCTGATTTGAGAACCCTATCATATGTTTTGTCCATGCAGATTACTTCAGTTAGCTGAGTCTTGCAACATCTTTATTGTCTATGGCATCTCTGGATATGTCTTTGGATGATGTGATTAAGAAGAGCAGGAGAAATAATGGAAAGGGAGGCCGAGGACAAGGCAGTCCCCGTCGTGGAAGAGGGCCAGTAGGGTCTTCCAGAGGTGGAAGACCATTTGGCGGATTTGGGGCTCCTCGCAGAAATCCTCTTGGATTGAATGCTCGATCTTCATCCTTTGCAATTGCCAAGGCAAGCTCAAAACTATGGATGACTTATCAATTACATAGACAATCTGCTATGCTGTAGTAACTGGCAAGAAGGTTCTAGTTTTGCCTTAGAAGCATGAATTTGAGAGATTTTGCTACCTGGGAGATGGCCACAGTTCCTCAGAGAGGATATACGGCTGTTACATTCCAGAGAATGCTTTAAGTACCCCGCTTTTCATCTGATTTCTGGGATTTTGTTGAGCATTCTGCAATGGATATTTATCAAAAGCAGGAAATTTGGTGGAATTTAGCTTAGAATCTTATGTCGAGGAGCTATTTTGAAAACCTAAGATCTTTCACCATTTAATATCCACTAATATTTTGAGGCTTGATCTTGTTAGCGGCCTTTAATGATAATTATTTAATCAAGATCTCTCTAGTTTGTCACTATCAATTTTGAGGGGGAGTTAATGAGATAGCAATTGTCTTGCGATGGCTACCATTGCAATACTCGTGTATCGTGTTGGGAAGTTTTCAGTCATGTCTCAGTTCAAGGCTTCCTGCAGAGGTGAATCCTGTGTCGAATTTGAGTATGGGCTCTCACCTTGCGCATGGCACTAACTGGCATGTGATGAAAAATCTGATTCCTGAATTGACTAAATACATCAGTTTTCAGCGGAAGTAGATATTCTGTTGGAGCTTTACCATCTGACTACTTCCTGGAACTTTGATGATCTACTACTTTATCTTGAAAGAGCGGTAAAATATTATTTTCTGGTCATTTGCTGACATTACATTTTCGCAATCTCGATTTTGGTTTTGGTTGCTTGCATCAGTCCATTCGCAGACCCAGGCCTCTACCATGGCAGAATGGTTTGTTTGAGGATAGTCTTAAAGCTGCTGGTTTGTCGGGTATGGATGCTGGTACAAAGCTACATATATCAAACTTGGCCTTTGGGGTGTCTAATGAAGATATAAGGGTATTAATCTTTAGCGTGATGCTTTGATATGTTATTCATGTTTGAAATCGGTTTCTGCTGGAAAATTTTGCTGAAACGACATCCAACACAGGAGCTCTTTTCGGAGGTTGGGGAGTTGGTTAGATATGCAATTCACTTCGACAAAGATGGGCGCCCTAGTGTAAGTTGGGAGCTTTTGTAATTTACGAATTCAGTATTTATGTTTGTCATGTAAATTTTTTGTTTGATTTATGACTTTCAAATTTTCATTTATGTTTGAGGAAATGCATTTTTGGAATGTGACCTTTCGTACTCGGTGCTTATTAAACAAAATGCGAGCATGGTCTGTAGTTACTAACCGTCATTCGCTTAGAATTCTATGATGATGGAAATTTGCTTTCCAGCGACTTCCTAGAAGCGCAGCGATCTAATATCTTTATGATTTATATATTGTAGAATTTGATTTTATGGAAACTTGCTTGGAGATTATTGTAACCTTTGACACATTAAAGTAAATGGTTTTTCCTGTGAGGAAACCACATCAGTGTTATTAATGGGGAATGGCGGTACATGGCGTTTTGCCAAAATTCCGCCATGGCGGCCGCCGTGGGGTCTGTGGCGCCGCCATGACCGCCATCATTCACAAATTTTGCATGGCGGATTGTCAAAAATCCGCCACGCCATACCGCCATGGCGCTGCCATGGCCGCCATTTGATAACACTGCCACATCATGCATGCTTTTGTTCGTTTTCTCTGTACTCTGTTGCTTATGTTTAAATTTGTTTTCTTTGATCGTGAAACAGGGTACAGCGGAGGTGGTTTTTGCAAGAACAACTGATGCATTTCAAGCATTTAAACGATATAACAATGTCCAGCTAGATGGAAGACTTATGAAGATAGATATAATAGGTGCCAAAGCGGAGATCCCCATTTCACCTCGTGTTAATGTTGGAGGAGCTTATGGGAAGAAGAGGACAGTTGTCATGGCGTATGTGCTTTTGTTTCTTGAACTCATTAGTCCCCTTTTTAAATGCCCCTTTCTTTTAATTTTGGATTGTTGTTTATTTTTTCATCGGGTAGTGCTGCTGCTGTCTAAAACTTTTGAGCAAGTACTGCAAAGGTTATTGACAACCATAACATTGACAAATAGACCCTGGGCCTATGGTCTGCTCTTTAATGAATGGCATCGGTTGAATCATAACAGATGGTTTTCAAAGTTCTATATTTGTTCCTCCAATCTATTTTCAAACGCTATGCTTTTATATTCCTTTCCAAACGCAAAGATTTTCATACTCTCCTTCCTCGACAAAGAGAAGCATAATAGGTTCTCATTATCGTGTAGGTCTGGACCTGGTCGTTCCGGAGGTGGCTTTGCAGCGGCTAACCACAATTCTTTGTAAGTTCCGGATGAGCTGTTTGTGTTGTTAGCCATAATATGTTTAGCCTCATGAAGTGGGGAGTTGTCATCGTTAATAGTGTAGGTTCAAATGTTAATGCTTATAGTGTAGGTTCAAATGTTAATGCTTATAAATTGTTAATCATGAGTTTGCATGATCATTTGTATATGGAAAAATCTCTCTCTCTCTCTCTCTCTCTCTCTCTCTCTATCACTGACTCTCACTGTAGTAGAAGCTGCAAACCGTCCGTAAGTGATTGTAAGGATGTTGATGTTTATGCACTGGAAAATTTGGATAATAATCAGGGGACAGTTATGAATTATTGCAATTGGTTTAGGTTTTTGACGCCGCACTGGAATAGTCTTTGTTTTATGATAAATATAGGTTATCTATATGCCACATGCTGTTATGCTCTTCTTTTTTATGGGATAAAGTTCTAAAGATGGACTGATAGTGGCCGAGCTGTGGAGAGAGCCTTAGTCAATTGCTTATCTTTCTAATTGTTCAGTTATATAAATCTGGCCAGGCAAAGAAGTCGTGGTGGTCCTAGCAATATCCGTGGTGGTGGCGGCAGTAGTAGCCGTGGAGTTGGTGGCCATGGACGTGGTGGTGCCAGCAACCGCCGTGGACGTGGTGGGGGGGCACGGAGGAGAAAGAGAACCGTTGAGAAATCAGCTGATGAACTTGACAAGGAACTCGAGAGCTATCATGCCGAGGCCATGCAGTCTTGATTTGGTTTTGCTTTAATATTCAAGTTTTTGAAAAAAAAAAAAATATTGAGATTCAGTGTACAGTCATTTGGCTGCTAATTGCTGCTGTTTGCTTGGTGCTTCTCTTGACTGTTTTTGTGGGATGTTTATTTGCTTTTCGGACTGTAGTACTAATAGTTGAGTAGCAGTGGACATGGTGATGGCTAGATGGATGATGTGATGGCATTGGATTATGGCAACGCTATTTTCTTATTATAGCCTATATGCTTTGTTGGCCGTTTGATTTGTCGTATCTGTCTTGTGAGAATGTAGTCCAGTCGTATACTGGCATGGACTATAGGTTTGCTTTGCTTTATGAGCTCTTTTGTCAGGTGCTGTTTGTTCTATAATGTGCTCCCTTTTTGTCGGGTGCTTAATCAGGTAGCGGCTTCAACTTAACTTGTAGTTTTTCATCGTGCCCATCTTATTAAAGTTGTGAATTTTGCCTAGTATTAGAAAAACAGGTGATCAAAATATATATATATATATATTTTTTTTTTGAAACGATAGAATTCATTACTGAAACACAGAAATACAATTGTCTCACAATAGCTGAATGGGGAAAGCCTACCAAGGGTAGCCTAGAATGCACAACATTATAAACACACAAAAGCTCTAGCTTATTTCCTTATTTTATATGCTATGTTGCTGGCATGTAAATATTTGGCTCAAATGCACTCCACTTTTGGAAAAATCGAAATACTAATTCCTATTTCAGTCATGCAAATAGTTTCTCGCTAACAAGTGAGTAACAACCATCGCACATTTGGCAAAATTACTAAACAGACATATTTCCTTTCTAAACATGAAGAAAATATGATGAAAAAGTAGAATGCAAACCATGAATCTATTTTATGGTAGAATGAGTATTTGAAGCCGAGAATGGTTTTTGAAGATTTGCCCAAATTTTGCATCACACCATTTATAATGATTTGGAGAAGCATAAAATATATTTCTTCGGGGAGGGGCACAATAAACATATGGATAACAAGCTATCAAAATCCATTTCGCCCGTTGCAAAAGGATGAGGACAAGCTATCAAAATTGCTTTTTTTCCTCTAAATGTTTTTAGTTTGGGTGGAAGGCAACGTTGTAATGGATGAATATGATATTTAATCACATCGTCAGTCCTGTTGAATACCACGTCAATATGTGAACGAACAATTTATCCAGTACTATCCTGTACCATCCTATTAAATGTGTCAAATATCATCAACAATAGCAAACGAGCCCTAAAGGTATTGTGGAACTGAACCCACTCCAATGGCGTTAGCAAAGTGATGAAAGTAGTATTAGCTAGGGCACTTGACGTTGATAATGTTTACGTCATATGTGTTGTCTAGCTTTATTGTAATTCGTAAGTCCCAGATTTTCTATAACATACATTCAACCCACATGACAATCAATTTGAAGTTTTTCTATGTACAATTAAAGGATTCAATCAAACACACTCTCAAAAAGTTAGTTGTATAATCAGGCTGCTGCGTTTCCTGTAATAGTCTCATCTCCTTTTAAAAGCAACATACGGATTCAATCAAACACACTCTCAAAAAGTTAATTGTATAATCAGGCTGCTGCGTTTCCTGTAATAGTCTCATCTCCTTTTAAAAGCAACTTACCAGATTCACTTCTCTTGAAAAGCTTCTCAACCACTTCATCCCAATTGGTCCTGCCATTTTTTCCCGAGCAATGCATCACTGAAGAGCCTTCTTGGGTGTCAGCATAGGGTTCTTCCTCAGCAGACTTTACAGCATGAGGTATATTCAAGGTGACGGCTCTCTCTAATGCATCATTGTGCTCCTTCTCTAGAGTCTGCTTCCTCTCGAGTCTCTGTACTTCCGGAGGCGTGGTAATAGTCTCTCCACTAAGCTCCTTTAGATTCTGCATTAGGAATGTTATTTTAAGAAAGCACTCCATGAAGGAAAAGAAATCTTTTGAATAATTTTGACAATTTTCAAAGTGTTAGCGATCAGAACAATGGCTCAGTCAGCCTAGTTAAACCAACCGAAGAAAATAAGATAAATATATAAATTATCCAAAAATTCGCCAGTATGTACCCCATTTATAGGTACCAATTCCCAGTTGATGTTGAAGTTTTCTACAACTACAAACATCCCCTCAAATGGTGCAACTTCGTAAAATGAAAACAAATGTCAACAAAGGATCCCCATAGATATTAATGGCATGTTAACTCATTCTTTCTTTATTTTTTTTTTTATCTTTTTTTTTATGTTCTGTTAGTTCTTTTTGGTAATCAAGCTCAAGATCAACTGAAAAATGATTGTGTTCCCTGATCCATATTTCAAGGCCTGCACTGGAAGGTGCAACTACTAGATATCTAATTATTGTAATAGACGCCAAAGAGCTTTCAATCTGAAATACAGGCATCTAGAGTATTCCAGATCATAAACCATGTTTGTACAGATAATTGGAGACCTGGAAGGAAGTGTGCAAAATAGAAGAAGAAGAAGAATATATAGAGTGAGCAAAAATTTATGAAGGCGCTTTTACTTACTTCCAAGGCCTTCTCTGCCTCTCTTTCAATCCAAATAATAGCATGATCTGATGTTGCATTGCAGGAGAGGACAATATGCTCAAATCTCCCATCAACTGGAATTGCTGTTTTAACTTCTGGAGGATACCTACCACATCTGAACTTAATATAACAAAAAGAAGCAAGTTTAGGTGACAAAGGTGTGGGTGGGGAATGGAGCTGAGGGCATTCAATTCCATTAAAAACTCAGCGATTTCTTTTCTCTACCAAGCAATATTAGCATGAAGGATGTAAGAAGTTCCATATAGTGCATACAATTACAATGGGTACCAAATACTCACTTCATTAACCTGGAACATAATTATCAGAAGTTAACATGAGACTAAAAGAATAAAAACATTTAGCAGTTGATCGTTAGATATCTTTAACAAAATTCAGTTTGGCCTTAGTGTAAAAAAAAAATAAAAAAAAAAAAAAAAAAAAACATGCCTTGCATGGATGATTAAGTAGTTAATATCTTAAGTTCTGAAATCTAGCATCTATATGCTCTTAACAATTCTTTGTCACAGTTGCAACTTTACCTGCAAAATTTTCTTTCCACTATATGGTACATGCGACCTGGAGCATAGAGTCTTCTTGGATCCCTGAGCTTTCTATCTTCAGGGATAAAGGTGTCTCTCAGACACACCAGAAACAGCAGGCAGGGTAAACTGTGCAAAGAAAATACAGCCTGGTTTATAGGAATGGTGAAAAATTCTCATCAATAGGGCAAGACAAAGAACAAATGTGACACCATAAAAGCTTTTATCTCATTTTCATATTACTAGCTAATCACCACTGACCAGAAGATAGATCTGAAGATGTCTTCCAATGGGGTGGCTGTTCTGGGCAAGAAATCGTCCTGAATAAATCAAAGTTAGAAAGGAATGATTATTTTAAGGTAATTCTTAGTCCCGATAAAAAAACTGTGCACCCAATTAGACTGAAAATACACTGGATATATCTATAAATACATGGATGACTGTGTTGAGATCATGGTACGTTCTCTTACATTGGGCTTGAGAAATCAACTTTTTAAAACTTTGTAGTTACCTTTTTAGCATTTTTCTACACTTATTCCACGCGTAATATTGGAAATCTCCAAGACCTACATTAGTTTTTCATACATACATCTTAAATTTTGTCTATATGTTAACAACCAGATAGAAACTGGCTATCACGGATTGCATCATAGAACATTATTCACCAGCGCATAGTTGACAACTCAGAATGATAGGTATGCATCCACAACGTTTGTTTACAAAGTATACACCCTATCAAAGTACACAGTTTTCAAAATATCTAAATTTTGTAATGGAGAACCTGTGATTGAACTGTCACCTCTTGTATTATCTATCTAGCATCATATGACTGATCAAAACAGCCACGTAGAAGGGAAAAATGAAAGAAAAGAAGCAGAAAGTAAAATTCAAGTTCTTCCCCAGTGTATACCGGCCACGAATGTCCAGAACATGGGAAAATGATGAATAGGCAACCAGAAAGAAATGATCACCACATAAAAAGATGATACCATTAACTTAATCAACAGATGAGAATTCAACAAAATGGTTTTTCAACTGGCAGAGAAGAGTTCCAACATTCTGCCACTTATCTTGTTTATTTAGTAATTTACTAGCTCTTTTGCAGGTGGAGTGGTTCTGTGGTTGAGAGGCCAAGTTTCCGAATACTCCAGAAAAGAAGAATATTAAACGTTGCCGGATACATATTTTTTATGGGGCATTCATACATTACCTCTTATAATAAACACCACCTAATCAAGCCACTGCCAAAATGAACAGGCTAAAAGAGAGATAAGACCGGTGCTTTTAATCAGCAAACTCACTAATAATTTGGGGATGGACGGAAAAGAAAAACAAAGCTATCCAAACTTTTACGAAACAAAAAGAGCAAATAACTCATTGATCCACCAAATGAAGCGTTGTTCGCTTATTTAACACCAATGGAACCCATTCATAATAAAGCATTAAGCATCACAACAACTCATCACAGTATCAACAACAATGCTCCATGAAGTAAATAAGGGAAAATTAACACAGAAAGCAAAAGCCAAAAAATAAAAATAAATAAATAAATTGTACCTGCAAAACAACAGAGCATATAATGTCGGCGTACTTCACTGCCAGGTTGAGCGACATACACCTAGCAGGGGCCACCGCGTAACACCTGACCAAACCCCTTGGAATCCCTCCCAACTCATCCCCATGGTTGGCCACGATCACGCTCAGCAAAGCTGCCACGCCGGATCCCAGGGAGTGCCCGGCGAACACCATCCTGTAACCCCTCCCGTTCTCCTCCCATAGGCTCCTCAAAGTTCCCGACTCGGATTTCAACACCCAAATAGCGGATTTCAACAGCCCGTGGTGCACGTACCCGCCGTCAAACATCTGCTTGCCGAGCCTATTGTCCAACAGCAGCTTGTAATCACTCTCCTTGGCCAGGTTCAGGCCGCGGATGGCGAGCACGATCTCGCGGTAATCGTGGTCGAGGTAAATCAGGTAGGGCGGCGCGTGGCCGAGCGTCTGCTCGTAGGTGACGCGCTTGACCACCCAGTCGGGATTGAGGCGGTAGCCGCCGGCGGGGGCGTACTTGGGGGAGCTGAGGTCGGGCTCGTAGACGGCTAAGATGACGCGGCAGACGCGGGGGATGGGCTCGAACTCGTCGGCTGTCGCATCGGGCCAGGCGGCGGTGTCGTAGGAGCCGATGTAGGTGCAGCGCTTCCAGGCCCAGCGCAGGCAGCCGAGGACCACCACGCACTCCATCCCACAGGCCACGGACATTTCATGGAGCAAGCTGAAGGTGACAATTGGATTGATGAGCGAAAAACAATGGCGATTTGGCGTGGCGGTGGGCACTCAGTAGTGCGGTAGGTGGGGCGGTGAAAAGGACGAAAACAAAAGGAAGATGGTTTTGAATTTTTTAAAATTTTGCTACAAAAGAGGTCTCTGGAACTTGGAATGGAAGTCATTGGAGAAAGACAGATCCGCTTGACATTTTTGTCCTTCATTGGTAGTCAATGCCACTCTAAACAATCTTTCTTGACAATTTTGTCCTTCTCAAATTTGAACAAAAAGAATGTCTCTCTTTTACTCTCTCTTTTTGTCCTTGCCATTTGTGTCCTTAATTTGTCCTTTTTTATCTATTCATAACTTTTTTTTTTAAGTTTCAGCCCGGTCGACCGGGGATGGCGCGAGCGGTTCCCGTTGAACGGCCGCGTGCTAGGCGACGGGCATTGGTAGCTGGCCGCACCCTAAGCAGCCGCCATCGATGGCCGGTCGTTCCCCAATCGGCCGCCCTCAATGGCCAACATGCCACAGGACCGGCCGGCTGGAATTTAGTTTTTTATTTTATTTTTTTAACAATTGGAATTATTTAATTATGTTTAAATATTTAAAAATAGAATTGACCTAATTTTTTTATTTAGGTTAATATAGATAAAATTTTAATTTAGTATTTATTAATAATATGTTGCTTATTTATTGTTCTATATATTAGTTATGTAATTATATTAAAACAATGATAATAATATTCTTTAATAATACAAATTATTTATAGGATAATGATATAACTTTATTATTTTTAGGAAATTGATTAGTTGTAATATATGCAATTGTTGACGAGTGTTTTCGGTCAACGGTTGAGATTGAAAATATTAAACGTACAAGATTGGAAGTGGAGAAAAGATAGGGTCTAATTATAGATTTTATTAAATGATCACGAGGTCGGCCTCTCGTACGAGGTCGGCTCTTATGATATCCTTACAATCCTTACAATCCTTTTAGAGAGAGAAAATGGGAGAAAACATATATTAGTTGAGGATTCAACAACCCCAAAATAAATGAGGTGGGCTGCTATTTATAGCACCCTTAAATGGGCACTGTTCACCGGTCTTGTCGTACAGTGATCCTTCAGAGCAGTTCGGCGCCTCCCTGACATTCCATAAATGCGATTTGAGGTTTTCCCAATCATTCTTTGCAGAGCATTTAATGCGGGTATGGGCAGCATTTAATTCTGATTAGGCAGATGGGACAGGCCGTCTTGTCAACGTATGATGACTTCCCAAGTGGTGATTATTCTAATAACGGCTGGACCGGTCCTACGCCTCGTCGGGACGGCCCTGACTAGTCCGGCTCGGCACCTCCGTTCTCGATGGATCAGCGGTCCGGACAGGCCCTTTCACCAGCTCGGTCCAAAAGCGAGACCGGTTCGGCTCCATTCAAGTCAAGGGCCGAGCTCGGGGAACATCCTCTGCTACCCGGCCGATATGTAATTCCCCGACTCAGGTCGGCCCTGAGCTCATGATCTGTTCGGCCCTGATCCCCGGGTCGGGTTCCGCGCAATCCGCGCAATCCATGGGGTTGTCCTGTCATGTTCTGCTCGGTCCGATCCGGATGTCAACAGCAATAAAATAGTTTGTTGAGTAATTAGTAGTTTTAAAATTTTTAATTAGTATTCTAATATAAGTTGGAAAAATTGTATTTTTTTTTACTTAATTAGTTTGTATAATTATATAATCATAAAGTGAAATCATATTAATTATGTGGTTACAAATAATTATTATATTTTAGAAAATAATAATAATTAAAAATATTAATTATGATTAGTTAGCGCAAAAATTAGTAAATAAATAGCTAATTCTAATTATTTTTTAATAATAAATAAAATATATATTTAAAAATGTTGTTTATTAATTATTAATTTAAATTATTGATTAGACTGTTGCCTGCTGGTTGACCTATGCGATTGGTCACCCATGCAGAGTCTGTTAAGCTTTATGGTTCTGGACCCCGACACACGAAGAGTCGGTATGTAGATGCTTTCGTTTGTCGGGAGGGAGACGAGATGATGCGTCAGATTCGCAAACTGGTCACGCTAACCAAGCTGGCAATTCGAGACGCCTCACTCCGGTACAGACCGATCAGCAATCCCGCTTTCAGCAGTGGTACGATTATGATGAGTCGACAACTGAGAGGTTGCAGTTCTCAGATGATTTTGAAGACTTTGACTCTGCATAAGAGCAAGACATTCTTCTTCCTTCCCCACGGCAGGCGTGATATCACAAAATATGATTAAATATGAAGAATCGATTTTTTATTGCGATTATTATCACGAAATAATTTTCAGAATTGGTATCATTTTATTTATAGAGAAAATAGTTCTATTAATCGTGTTGCACGATTTACAATAGAAAGGTATAATTTAATTGTCATTTTTACTAAATATTAAAATAATTTTTACTATATTTTCTTTAATAGTAAGTCAACTTATTTAATTACAAAATGAAAGTTACTATTTTAAAATATTCCATCAAACTCTTTCAATATATATATATATATA